TTGAGGCAGAGTCTCAGGGGAGATCAGACACCTGCCATCCTCTTCCCGGAGCTCCGCGCTCGCGCCCCTGAAGCCCACCTCTCGGCCCCGATGCACCTCAACCTCCCTTTGTCCTTGAGTGAACTAATAACCTGTAAAGCTACAAAAATGGGCTCTGGCTAAATATAGCAGGGGGGGGGGGGGAGAAAACAATTACAGCTAACATTTGCAAAGAGGTTGCCATGGAGCTCTTTTGGCACTTCCACAGCCCGGGTAATCAAGCTGGGCCAGAAGCAGGAACGCCAATAACACCTGACAGACAGAAACACAACACGTATTACCGGTAGGCAAATATCATGGCCTCAGATCCAGACTTTCAAGTTGATATTTTCAAACTTATAATTTTTCTCATTAGAATCCAGATTTAGATGTTCATACACCTGACACCTGGAATCTGATGCCAGAGTTTGCTTTCCTTCTCTTTGACTGACACAAGGTCGTCAATCTGAGGATAGCTTGGGAGACAGCTTTTTATGGGTGCTCTTTTCTGTGCCTGAATAGAAATGATAGAAACTCATTCCATCTGATAAACAATAAAAACATTAACAGCCAATCAGAGTCCACTCGACCTTAAAGAGTTCGAGCATTTAAAGGAGCAGATGACATAAATGGAGCACTCATATTAGACTGTCTGCTATCTGCTAACTCTTTATTGTGATGGTCCTCCAACTGACATTCTACAAGCTGAGTATGTCAGAACATGCAAAAATTGCTATACAGTCAAAGGCCAATATTTAATACCAATATTTTGGTTTTTGTATTTAAAAACTAGGACATATTTAAAGGGATAGTTCACCCTAAAATTAACATTTGTCTTTCTAAAAACACTGAAGTCTTTGATTAATCTTTAGAACACAAATCAAATATATTTTTTATGAAAACTGAGAGGTGTCTGTCTCTTCGTTGGAAGTCTAGGTATTGGTAACCAAAACTTAGAAGATCCAAAAGATCATAAAGGTGTTGTATAACAAATCCGTAAGACCCAAACGATTTAGTTCAAGTCTTGTGGAGAGATATGTTTGCTTTATGATGAACAGTTAATGTTATTGGATTGAACTTTATTGTAAAGTGCTACCAGAGTTGCTTTATCGTGTATGACTTGGATTATATATCACATTATACTGTATTACCAAAGCTAAAAGTGTCAAACTAAACATTTCCCGTTCTTTGTGTTTTCAGTTAACACATTAACAGCTTAGCCTATGAGCTTAACATAAAAAAAAAACTAATGGAAGGTATCGTCCATCTTATCACTCGCCTGTTTTCTTTTTCTGAAAGAACCCACCCTTTCAGAATTGTCTCTGTCACCATCTCTCATGTCTCTTTATTAATATTTTTTTGTTTATGTATAGCACACCTTATATATTGTTGATGCAATAAAGCATAATCTGTTGAGAAAACAGCACTTATTTCCCACATGTATTAATAAAAAGCAGTGAACCGTAAAAACCCATTGTGGTCTGAACAGTCAGAAAATAAACCCTCGTCTGTGAAGTCTATAAAAACCTGCAACTGTGTGGGGAATCAGAAACTTTTCAGGAGATTCACAACTTTGTGTTTTGTCACTATATTACAAAGTCACCATATTTGTGACATCACACACAACAGATCAGGAGCATTAAAGCACAAGGTATGCTTAGATTCATGTGTAAGGCAGCTTTATTACCCAATGTCCTTCCACTGAACTCTTTGTGCATAAGGAGCTATGTTAACAACAGCTAGCTTGTACAACAGGGAGCTATTTCCAGTTTTAAATGTGGCCATCCACCCCCATACAGAGGTACAAATATGCATTGAATGCTACACCACGGCCATTAGGAATGACCCTCAGAGGACTAAGAAGATGCTATATAAAATTATATTTGTTGGAAATTTAGGTAACCCAAACTTAGAAGATCCAAAAGATCATAAAGGTGTCATAAAACTAATCTGTACAATCGAACGATTTAGTCCAAGTCTTGTGGAGAGATATGTTTTCATTGAATTGAACTTTATTGTAAAGCGTTATTGCTTTATCCTGTATTTCATGTTAATCATGGAAATGTTAATTTATGACTTGGATTGTCACATTATTGTTTTACCAAAGCTAAAAATGTACAGGTATATATAGCATTTGTCAACAAAATCTTGTCTTCCAAACCATTAATAAAAAGAAAAAAAAGAATCATTAATATAATTTTTTAAAAAGTATGTATTTATTTATTTCTTATTAATAAATAAATTATTATTTATGTGTTTATTGTTTGTTGCCATTAGTATACATGTAACAGATTATGATATCATTGTATGCCATGGTGATTGTAGCTGTCATAACTTTTTTCATGTTTATTTATACATATTATTGCCATTATTATACATGTCACTGACATTAATTATTTACATTTTCAAGGTATTTAAAAGAGTACAATATCACCATAATGATCATGATAATGTGTTTATTATTTCATTTATAATATAACACACACACACACACACACCTTTAAATACCAAGGTATTTAAAATAATACAATATCACCACAACGGGGCATGGTCTCAAAATATGAAAACTTGCCATTTTTTCCGTTAGTGATTTATTGTTATTTTTTATTTTTTATAGGAATACAAAAAATTGGTTCCACAACCCAAAGTCTATTACAGATGCCTTATTCTGTGCTTGTTGAGAGTGTGAACATTTATTGTACAATCCATACAGCGTCTGGAAATTGTCATCGCAGTATTAAAATTTTGACTTACCAACCGAATGCTTTTGCGATCCGTTTTCTTTAATGACAAATGTGCTGAGCACCAAATGCAATGATATGATGAATAATATAATTCGGTGTAGCCCATGCAGCAGTCAAAGCGTACTGTGATGTATTTCAGTGAAATGATGAAATGCAGGCGTTGAGAAGTACACTGCCGAGAATGAGAGTAGTGCATCATCCGACTCTTATCAGAGAGCAAGTGATTAAGTTAGTGAGTGGTTGGAGGCTTACAAACTTTTACAAAGCTTACAAAACAGCTTGTAAACAATATGCCACATACAGTAATGTCACATTTATACCTATGCCCATAGCTGTCAACTAAAAAAATAACTCTAGAGCGGAAGTCCACATTGTGCTGTATAAATGCACATTACATTTTCCTTGTATTGTTACTTAACTGTTAGTGATGATGTCTCATTATGTTTGAATAAGTATGCACTTCTGAGTGCACGCTTCCCCGGTGTTCTTCCACAGCCTGCCAACTTTGGTGGCCACCTTCATTATTCTCCATGGAGACACGTAGACGCTCAATTAGTAGAAGCCATAGAGAGTTGTTCCAAATAATGAGGTACTTGACTGGATTTAACACTGTGCTGCTCTGATAACCTGTTTTACTCATTCTACAGTGGTGAATAATGGGGAATTGTCTATTTAATGAGTGTCTTATGGGTTGTTAACTACACATTGAATACTCATCAAAGGACGTGGTCTTGAATATGTGTGAATATTAACCTAGTGCTGAGCTGCAATGATTAGAAATCTTAGCCTGAATGGAAGCCAAGACATGAATAAAGAGACGAGACTTGAAGCCGCTTTATTACAGTGGATGTCTGTTGTGAAATGACTTCAAAGATGTGCTTGAAAAAAATGAATTCAATAAACCTGTTTGACGTAGTCATGGTAATGGCAGAACAGAATGACGCTATATCCTGTGTGTCCATGTATTTTGCTGGGCAATGATAATTGTGACTGCACTTTTAGGGGCTGATACACAATATTGTTTTCAACTAAATACTGCAAACTTTTTAGGCGTTTTGGCCGTTCATTTACACGACAATGACGTTTTGGGAGGCTGAAAATGCAAATGGTTTTCAAAGTGCACGTTTGTGAAAACGATGCCGTAATTGCCAAATTTGTGAAAACAGTGATGTCATGCACATGTGTATTACTGTTCATATAGGCAAAAACGTTTCAGTTTTTAAATGCATCATTGTTGTGTAAACGTACTCTTAGACACTTGGTTTGTATCCATCAAATTCCAAAAACAAACAAGCAATACAAATATTACTATATAATAATAATAATAATAATAATAGTGTAATAAAAATTATATTCTCTAATAGAATCTACACAATTATGTAATATATTAAAAACATTTCTTTGTTGAACTTTGATAACTAAATCGTAAAATTGTAAAAATTCCAAAAACAAACAAGCAAAATAAAATAAAATGTAAAAAAATTACTGTGTAATAATACTGTAATAAAAATGTAATAATGACATTCTCAAATAGAATCTACGCAATTATGTAATATTATAAACATTTCTTTGTTGAACTTTGATAACTTAATCGCAAAATTGTACAAAAATAAATAAACAAGCTAAATCAAATGAGTTTTTAAAATATTACCATATAATAATAATAATAGTGTAATAAAATATAATAAAAATAATATTCTTGAATAGAAGCTACACAATTATGTCGTATATTAAAAAAACATTTCTTTGTTGTCGATAACTAAATCGTAAAATTTCAAAAACAAACAAGCAAAATTAAATTTAACTGTAAAAATATTACTATATAATAAAAATAATAAAAAATGCAAGACAAATAATAAAACTGTTATTTAATAGAATCTACACAATAATGTTATATATACCGGTATTAAAAAAAATCTCTGTTGAACTTTGATTTATTAAATTGTCATGTATCGTTACTACATATGACAGAACAGACGCTTCCCTTCAAGCTCCTTTGATCGAAAGGTTCATATCATATATTTTATTTAAATAGTCGAAAGGCGTGGTCGCATTAGCATGCCTAGAAAAAGGTCCATAGTCCACTATCAGTAGTGTAGTGATGCATGAAGCACCGCTCACAAAAAAGTCACATTCAAACCAAGCGGCATTATGTTGGTCAACACATCGAATTCACATATCATATATTTTATTGACGACGGCCCTGTTAATGAAACCATACTCTGTGTGTGTTTTTAGCTTGCGAGGCTGAGCCCCAGAAGATGGCTGAACCTGCAGGAGTACCAGAGCAAGAAGCTGATGCAGGACAGTGGCGTGACCGTACAGCGGTTCTTTGTGGCTGACACCGCCTCTGAAGCCCTGGAGGCCGCCAAGAGACTCAGTAAGTGTCCTCCTCATTACAAACAGCTCGCTAGTAAGTGTCTAGAATGTAGAGCTGTTGTCCCTCTAATAGATTTCAGTGTCAGCAATGTGATTGCATGAGTAACACTTCATTGATAACATGCTAATGAGGTAATGGTTATTTGTTAACTCGATCGGTGCTTGTATGCAAGATCTGGCCTCCCACGCAGTGAGCTGGGGCATGAGGGCTAGAATTAACCAATGAGAACGCAGAACACAAATTTCATTGATGTTTATGCTTTTATTCTGGTGGACATGCCTTCAAGGGTCAACAAAACAGAAGGTCTCTTATTTATTCTGCTTCTCTTTTGTTTTACATGGTTTGTTGCTCCCACGATGTGTTATCCATGCATGCTCATGTTTGTTTTCTTTCATGCCTTTTTATTGTGAGCTTCTGTTTCTAGAGACAAGCACATTTTGTATGTGGCATATCAGTTGATGACCGCAATGGGCCCTATTTTAACGATCTAAGCGCACTTTTGTTAGTTTAAATCCACTTTTGCTAGTTTAACGATGGGAAAAATGGTCGGCGTGGTCTAAAAGGGTTGTTTCTATTCTCTTAATGAGTAATGGGTGTGTTTTAGGCATAATGTGCAATAAACCAATCAGAGTCTCAGCTCCCATTTCCTTTAAAATCCAGTTACGCTCGCGCCATGGCGGATTTGCTATTTACATGGCGGAATTTGAAAGTGGAAAAACTAGAGATGCACCGATTACAATTTTCTAGGCCGATTCCGATTTTTCTTGAGTTTGACCTGCCGATACCGATTTTAGCCGATTCCGATTTCCTTTTTTTAAACCACTTTACAGCACACACAAATATTTATTTTCTATCTTCTCTTTAATAGAACATTTTGCATAGAACATTTTTTTTAACAGATAATCGCTATAGAATAGGACTATATAAATTACTCCTGGTGTGGGAAATCCACACAAATCTTAAGTGCAGTGTTATGGAAGAACCATTTCCTTTTCACATCCAATATCCAACTAAAAAAATTTTATATATTTAGCAAACTAAACTTTTGTATGAAAACAGGTAATGGCAATAAAATAATATATAAATAACAAATAAAAATAAAATAAATATAGCCTACCCTTGCAGTATATATTTCTCAACACACACACACACACACACACACACACACACACACACACACACACACACACACACACACACACACACACACACACACAAGCCTATTGCAATCACTTGTACATCAATGGCAATTTCTCAAACTGTTTTTCTCTCTGACACATGTCCAGCCAGGCTAAACAGGACAAGTGGAGCATGTGCAGAGAAACGATTGGGAATAAAAACAAGTTGTTTTCTATAAATATTTTTGAGTCTTAATTTTCTTTTCTGACATAGCCTGGCTACTTCTTGTTAAAACACACCAGACGTGCAAATTCTGTGCATTTTGGACTCTTTTGGGGTGAAATCATATTTATTTTGTCCATCAAAAGTATGCTTTCACTTTAATTGAGCGCGAGCAGAATAGACTCTGCGCTGAAACCCGCGCTTCACTGTTGCTCACGCGAAGCTCCTGCTTGACGCTCACGCGCTGCTCCGGCTCCCGGTGTGAATGCACTCATTGATTAACATGCACGCCGAAGAGAAAAAAAACCCTGCTGCTCACGCTTGCGGTGTGAAACGGTCTAATTCACAAGGTTTCCTACATGTGTGTTCCGTGTGCACGTGTAATGCTGATGTTGCGCGATGTTAATCATGCGGCGCCCGAGTGCATTTGACCGGCATAAAATCGGCATGTCAGACTGACCGGCCGGTCGCCGATCATGGTCGATCACGTGAAAATCGGCCGATTCCGGTCACCAGCCGATCAATCGGTGCATCTCTAGGAAAAACTGAACGCTTCTCTAGCGAGGAAATGGATCGTGCCGAGATTGAAGCATGCACATCTATGGGATAAAGTGTACGCGTGTTGTGGAACCGCCTATAGGCGCCATTGACTTCAGACCATTGACTTTGATTTCAGTTGCCTCAAAATAGCAACGCGCCAACAATGCGCCTGAACACACCTCGTTTTCAGACCAGCACGCCCATGGGCGCACAAATGGGCACAAATGCATTTGTTATTCAAACAACGTGGGGCAGGACGTGAAAATGATAACTGCGTCGGGCTGAAACTAGCAAAAAACACTTGCGTCGCGCCTGGTGCTGCATCGCGCCGGGTGTATGATAGGGCCCTATGTCTGTGATGTACCGGTGCAGTCCGAGCTAAATCCAAGAGGTGAACTTATATCTGTTAGCCCCAGTCTTCTAAACCACATTCAGTTTCATGTGTGAGAGAAGCTGGATGCTTTCCAGAGGCTCACAGCTGTAATCTCCAGCTTATCTCACTGTACACAACAGGCTTTAGCGTTCCATGTCCAGCTTTTCGGCCTTTAATGTCTGTGATTAAATATTTACATTCAAATAGGGTTTGCTGTTCATAAGAGTCTGAATCCGAACAAGGTGCCGTCTTATATCAAACGTTGCGAGTGAGACAATGACATCTGTTTTTCCGACTCGATTTGGAACACGCTTCGATGGCATTTCCAACCCCTGCACATTGAGTGTTTCAGCCTGGTTCCTGTGGGATAGGGCAGGGCCCGGGCCCAGGTGACATGTACGAAGCGACCAAGCGAGACGTGAAGGATTTCTGTGACTTCAATAGTGCAGTGAGCTGTTCTCCCCAGTGCAGAGATGCCACCTCACAGTTGGGCCCACTTACCCATGCGGCAATTCAGCTGACAGCTCAATTTAAGCTCTGCGGTTTAGTGCTCCTCACCCACAGTAAAGATGCTTTTAAAGGTTTTTTTTTGTTTTTTGAGTTTCTTGCAATATGCCAAAGTGTTGAAAAGATGCTGCATCTTTATGCTCTTCCTGTTTTGGCTTGTTCGCCCGTCAGCTTTATTAGCATTATTGTCCTTTTTGACTTTTATTAGTGAGTTTATTAAGAATAAATGTTATTTATTTAAATTTGAAATAATAGTTTTAAACATTTGATTATTCTAAATTAATTTTAAGTATCAATGCAATACGTATTGTGCCGTGTTATTTTAGTAGTATTTATATGCTTGTATATATATTTATATTTATGTTATATATTTATTCATATTTTGAGATTTCATTTGAATTTTATTTCAAGGTTTAGCGCTTTTGTGATGTGCTTTTGTCATTTTTATTAGTTTTTTCTTAATATTTCTATTTAACTTTAATTTATTTTATTTTTAGTTATTTGCTTAAAATTAAACAAAATCAGACAATTACCAAGACAACATTTCTAATTTTACTTTTATTTTATTAATCAAAAACATTTTTTTTTTATAGTTTTAGTTAACAGCACCAATGTCTATATGACCACATTGGCCCTGTATTAAATTATAGTTCACCCAAAAAAAAATGTATTCAGGTCACTCATTTACTAATTTTCTCACCTTCATGTTGTTCAAAAACGGATGACTTTCTTTCATCCGTTCAACACAGAAGTAGATGTTCAGAAGAATGGTAACCCTGCTTTCTTCCATACAATGTAAGTGAATAGGGACCAAGTGCTTTCAAGTCCATAAAGCTTATCATTAAAGTTATCTTTAAAGCTGCATGACCCATTCGCTGTATTCAGAGTCTTCCGAATTTGATAGCTTTGTCTGAGAAACAAACACAAATTTGAGTCGTTATTCAGGAATTATTAAAATATTGCTTGACAGTCATGGTCACCATTCACTTCCACTGTATGGAAAAGATCAGCCCGGACACTGTGCTGAACATCTCCTTTTGTGTTCCACAGAAGATAGAAAGTCATACAGGTTTCAAAAGAAACAAGAGTGTGGAAATAAAGATTGCACTGTCAAATTTTAAGTAAGCTATGCCTTTAAGATAGTAGGAGGAATTCATTGTACTAGCTCGTAGCTCTGTTTTTCTGTGGAAGAAGAGTGGAGAAACAATTTTTTCATCCAGCACGTTAAAGGGAAAAAAAGGATGAAAAGACAAGTGACTGGGTGAATGTAAAAGGGGGTGGTGAGTTTCTCTGTTGACACTCTGCTTTACTTGTTGACTGACTGCAGGCTGTGACACTAATGATCCCACACCTGGTCCTAAAGTTGGTCCTGTGTTTGGCACTGATGGCGGGGGGGCTGCCCATTTTAAACAACCCCCTGTGCCGTTAAGTAATCTGACTGTCAAAGGGGGCAAGTCGGATGCTTCCTTCATCAGTCACCAACCGCCACTCGATTATGCAGCTCTGCTTGCTGCCAACACACACACGTGCACATTAACACACCCACACTAAGGAACAATGAGAGAGAAGACGAAAGATAAAGTGAGTGTGAAAGAGGGCAAGAAAGATAGAGGAGGGGTAAGATAGAGAAGACTGAAAGTGGGGTCACACAGCATAGCTAAAATATGCTGCCGCTGACTTCTGATTGGACGATAAGGTGGGAACTTTTAAAGAGACGGAACAATAAATCAAAGCGAGAACGGTTGCATAGCTCAACCGTAGAAAGACTCTCTCGCACTATCTCCACCGTGCTCTTGTCCTATTTAAGAGGAAGAGATCCACCCAAGATTGAAGGGTTGGGGAATTGGAGAGGTTCCTCATTTTTGGCTAGAAACCAAGAAGATTTCAACACCTGTAATCAAATGTGAATTCGCCTCAGAGAGGGGCTCTTTATATCTTTAAAAAATAAATACGACGCAGGTTCCAGTATAACCCCCATTCCCAGAACACCGTCTTCTGACATGAGAGGAAAATAAATGTTAATCATTACTTTCGCCGCCTTTCCATCCTGGTACTCGCAAACAGATATTTCCCAGCCAATGAGACCGCTGAATCATGTTGGCCTGCTTTGTTTCCACCGCAGGTCCTGTTGACAGATGCATCTGCTGGGTAAATATTGATGGATTTGTCCACTAGAATGTTCCAGAATGGTTTTCTCACTGTCTGCATTATTCAGAGCCACCAGGCCTGTGCAGCGAGA